TCAAGGTGGTGATCAATCCCTATTTTTACATCCTGCCCACTGTGATCTCTCCAAAAACCCATGCCCAAGCTGCAACATAAATGCTGCACCATATGAGGGGTGCCCATTACCAACTTATTTCTGGAAACACCAGCCAGTTCAGACTGTGTCCTATCTGGTGTGGTCCGGAGTGTCTGTCCAGCACAATCCTCTCCCCACACCCTTGCCTCCACCATGCACACACAAGGGCACATATGCACACATACACATATGTGTGCACCTAATGCTCTTTTCATTTAGTCAGAACACAAATCACATGATCACTGGGGAAACGACCTTGCTCCATAGAGCTAAGGATGACAAAGAGCCTGTAAAGATAAAGAATTCTTTCTGCTCCCTATGGGACATGTAATACAATTTAGGCACCTCCCTTTGAACAGCTGGACATCTGGATGACGTTTGAGGTGGGAGCAGTGACTGCTGTCTGATATTAACACGATCCTCTTGTTGCTGTTGTTAAGGCTATGAGCAGGAGCCAGTCACTGACGCATTATCCTTCTGACATTGCTTGTGGTCAGCCAAGAATAAATTTTCTGCATTCTCTGAACTTGCTAGCAGCTAAAGAAACAAACTGATCGCATTCCCAGACCCATGAATGGCTAAAGACAAAAGCCACTTTAAATAGCAGCCTTCAGTTTAGGAAGAACTGTTAAACTGATCCACTCAAAGCAAATTGAGAATTTCCAGGATGTGAAGCCAAGGTCCCTGTTAGCCATGTGGTGAAAAATTAGTTTCTAATTCCCTTGTGTCACTGTACTTTCTGAGAACAGATGCTATCCCTGTATTTACAGTAGTGGAAGAACAGGAAAATGTCTGAGGAAGATTATATATTAACTGGACAGTTCAGACTGTCTGACATGAATTGCATTTCATGACAGTGGACTCCTGTAAAGTGTGATAAACCTTGGGATTTGGAATGCTAAAAGGGTAAAAGACTATTTGGAAGTTGGAGTTAAGTCTTTTGCACAGAGGCATGTCAGATAGCATCTGTGTATATGCTCCTGATCAGAGCCTTGCTGCTCCTCCTTCCGTGGTATCTCCACACCACCCACCGGATTTTCCTTCCGACAACCAGCAACAGTCCCAAACAAGCGAAACACAGCCCCTTGAAACCCCCGCACCTACTCCGGAGAGTAACACCCCACCTCACCCCCAGCTCTTCCTGTCTTCATTGATGGGACCCAAGGATCCATTTCTGGAACACTGAGTCAGAGCACCCAAAGGAATCAACAGATAAGCATACAATTAGCACGAGGGTGAGGAGGAGGCACAGCTCTGAAAAAGTGCTTAGCGCCCAACGCCAATTCCAGATCAACAATCTAGAAATCTCTGGTTCGGGTACTGCCATTTTAACAAATCTCTCCAGCTGATTCTAAAGTATAGACAGAGTTGAGAACCACAAGCCGAGCACAATGCTGAACCCTGCGGACTGTTGCTGTATGGGTAATACGATTCCAAAGTCAGTGACCTTCCAGGCAGAGGTCACTGAGATAAAACCGCAAAATACTTCAATCAGCATGAAACCTGGCGTGGCAGTTCTAAAATATGGCCTCCAATTCTTTGACACTTCTCCCATTGAAAGGCAGGGGTATGTCCTGTCCCTTTGCATGTGTATGGATCTCTGACTGCTTTATCCAAAAAATATGGTAGAATTGGTACTATCTTAGTTCTGAGGCTACATGATAAAAAGGCAATGAAATTCCAACTTTGTGGTCCGGATCACTCATTTTGGAGCCCTGAGCCCCTGTTAAAGTTCAACTACCTTAGTCATTTTACTGTAAGGAAGACCAGGCTACACAGAGTATTCACATGCTTGACTCTCCTCTTAATGCCCCAACTGAGTTCCCAGCCACCGTCAGTGTCCACTGAGTAACTGAGAGATAGACAAATTATTTACAAATTTTGGTACTTGAAAGCATCAATGTAAATAATGGTGTTAGAATAATGTCTGAATCTGCCCATCACTCACTCATTTTCTAGTTTTCCTGAAACTGGTGTTTAAGTGTCTGAAACTACATATAGTGTTTCTTGTTTTGAATAGTGGTTACATTTGAATTGAAAAAGATAGGAAAAAAACTCTGAAAATGCTAGGGAAAGGTTTGCAACATAAAACTGCCTAACTTCAAAGAAACAACTACTATCATTTTGAAATATCAGAGAAATGAATGAACTTCAATAATTTGGATGTGGGTCTGGAAAGCTGAATGGTGGTCCCAGAAATGTACATGCACGTCCTAATCCCTGGAACTGATGAATGTGACCTTATTTGGAAAGTCTCCTTGCAGATGCAACTAAGTTAAGGATCTTGAGATTAAATTATCCTGGATTATACAGGTGGAACCTAGATTCAGTAACAAGTGTCCTTACAAGAGACACACAGGGCAGATTTATTCGTCAAGGATTGTTTATAGCCACCAGAAGCTGGCAGAAGCGAAGACAAGGCTCTCTCCTCTAGAGCCCCAGAGGGAGTATGCTCTGCTGATACCTTGATTTTTGACCTGGGGCCTCCAGAACTGTGAGAAATTTGTTGTTCTAAACTAACTAGCTTGTGGTAATTTGTTACAGCAGCCACAGGAAAAATATAGTTGGAAAAAAAAATGTCCTTGTCCAAATTTTCTCATTCTACATAAATACAAAACTTAATAAATTGAAATTTTATTCTTTAAACTTATCTCCTTATGCTTCTACCTACCAGATGGATTTGTTTTTCAGTTCAAAATATTATCTCTAATACCAAAAAGGCAAATTCCTATTTCTACTATTTTTTGTTTAATATTTTATGTTTAATATTTCCATGCTTGTCTTTTTAAGGTATGGGCTAGCAGTGATTGTAAGGCAATTTATCAGCAATCTATATAGAGTACAAAGTGAAGGACTTCACTGAATATTCAGAATTCTGCAGTAAGTTGGTTTAAAATATGTATATATTTGGGAGGCAAGGGGTTGGAAAGTGGCATACATGGTATAGAAGGGATAATAAAGAGAATGATATCCTTACTGTAACACATATGGCTTGTGAAGAAATCTCTGTAGACATGCTTTCAAGAAGGCTGTCTCAAATACCAGCAGCGGGACACCCTACAAGACGGCTTAGCGGAACTCCTCAAAAGCTTGGAGGGCTTCAAAAACCAGGGACATGTGAGAAATTGCTGCAGCCGTGAGGAGCCTAAGGAGACATGAAGTCAGGGTGTAAAGTGCTATCCTGGAACAGAAAAAGGACATTCGGCAAAGTTTAAGGACATGTGAATTAAGTAATGACTTCAGTCAAGAATAAGGTATTAATATCGGTTCATTGATTTTAACAAAAGTACTACACAAACGTAAGAGGTTATTAAACATGAAACTAGGTGCCAGATATATGGGAACTCTGTCCTATCTTCGCAATTTTTCTGTTAACTTAAAACTGTTGTAAACAGTAACGCCTAACACACACACACACACACATACCTCTAACAATATTTATTTTAAGTAAGAAAATTGAAGGAAGTGAAACATGTAATACAAAATAGTAATGTTGAGGAACTTTTCTCCACTGCTTCCCAGCATGCGGCCCACATTGAGAAGAACGATTCTTAAAGGCGTCCCCACCCCCTCATCACCGACTACGTTCTGAGAAGGGGCCGCCGCCGAGAACCCCCGGGACAGAGAGCAAACGGCGGTCCCGCCCAGGTTCCCAGGCCAGCGGCGCGGTCTGTTCGAGCCCGAGGTCGCGCGGGGGTCCGGCGACAAGCCCGGGCAGCTCCTCTCCCGCGCAGGCCGCCCCCGAGCGCGCCCCTCCCTCGGCGGCCGCGAGGGCCCGAGAGCGGCGCCTCCTGCACAACAAAGGAGCCACCGCCCCGCGCCGCGCCGCCCGGCTTCCCGCGTCCGCCCGCGCCCGCGCCACGCCGGGAACAGGCTGGCGGGCCCACGTTCCCAGGTACCCGGAAGGGGGCGGGCCGAGGTGGCGGCCCCTGGGCGGGTGCGGGCGAAACGCGCGGCCGGGAGCGCCAAGCCCCGAGGGGGGCGGTCCGGCCGTGCCGCCGCGCGATTGGCCGGGCCGCCCCCGGCCGCCGCTGATTGGCGGGTTCTCAAATTCGGTCTCGAGGCGCCAGGAGGTGTCCTAGCGGGGAGCGCGGAGAGCGCTGGCGGGAGCGCGGCGGGCGGGCGCGGCGCTGACGCCGCGGGTCCCGGCGGGCGCTGGACTCGGAACGGGCTCCGCGCGCCTCGCTTTCCTCGCGCGATGTTGCCGCCCGGCCGCTGATCGCCTCGCCCCGCGGACCGCGCGCCGGCGGGGGTCGTGGAGGTCCCCGTGGAGGCAGGACGCCTACGAAGCCGAGCGGGAGTGAGTAGCGTGCGGCTGGCGAGGAGGCGGGGGCTGCGGGCAAGGGGCCCGTCCCGCCTGGCTGCCAGCCTGCCGGCCTCCGTCCTCCCGGCCGGCGGGGAACCGGGGCCCACTGGGGCCGGGCGCGCGTGGGGCGTCCTGGTTCCAGCCCCGCGTCCGGCTCCACGACTGCGGGAGTCGTTGGAGAGCTTGTCGGTGGGGGCTGCTTCAGGTGCCCAGTGGGTTTGCTCTAGCGATCAGGTTTCCTGCCCGATTCAACGCACCCTCAAACCCGGATTCCTGCCAGTTGTTTGCGCCAAAATTAACTGACCTAGGAGACCCTGTACTTTCTGACAGATTTGCCCTCCACCTTCCGGACTTGGTAACTTTATTTTGCCTTGTCGCTTTCCATAAAATAATAGTATTTTGTCGATTTTTTTTTCTTCCAGGTTTCCATTAATTACCAAGCACCTAAACTTTTAAGTGTTTGTGTTCATTCATGCGCGTTTTAGAGTTGGGGATGGCTACAGTCCTGGAAATTCTCGGGATGAGTTTAGGGAGGGGAAGTTCATGTTCACGAGCAAGTAATAAATAGATATTTTTGTTGGAGAAGAAAATGTCCCATTATAAAATCATTTTCTGATGTAATTGTTCATTGCAGATGGAGGTAAATTGTTTAACTCTAAAAGACCTGATCAACCCCAGGCAGCCCAGACTGGATTTTGCGGTTGAAGATGGGGAAAATGCACAAAAGGTAAGTACACTCAAATGCCTTAAGCTCTAACATGTTTTGAATGGTGATGTCTAATTCAGTTAAGTGTTCCAACATGCTGCTTGTATTTGTCTTAGAAACATAGTAATTAATTTTGATGAACACTGTAGAAATATACTTTGTCTTTTTTAATGGAGGTATCCAAACTATTACTGTTGAGTTTCTCATTGTGCAGTGGAAACACGCTAGGTGAAATGTTGGAACCAATTTATGAGTCAAAGATAAGCTGGACACTGCAATCAAAAGTTTGTAATACTTAAAGTTGTCAAAGTGGAATTAGCTAATGCTATGCAGGAATGTTAAGCCTCATTTCTTAGGAAATTAGACTCTTTTTGCTGGAAATGCTAGATTATTAAAGTGCTGTGAAATGTTCTTCATACCAGTGAACCACCTCCTAGAGGTGTTGCGTTCACCAAGATGATATATGGGAGCATATGAAGGGGTAAGTGACTGAGCCCACCCAGGTACCTGAGTATTGTCCAGGGGCTCCTGCTGGTTTTACACTGAGCCATTCCCTCCTTTTTTGCATTCCAGGTAATTTTATAAGACCATAGTGGTATCATAGCAGTATCTAAACTATCCCCACACCTACACCAGCACAGTGGCACTCACCTGGCAGGGCCCTACAGAAAATGTATAAATAGCTCATTAGTAGTGAACGCTAAGCATTTTTAGGCAGAGTCAAATAGATATAACAAACACAGGTGTAGAAACTTTGAATATAAATCTGGGCATAGCAGCTTCCGTGGGCACTGAACTTCTCTTGGTTCCTGGTCTTATTTTTAGGCTTAGTGTGGACAAAGAAACTGGTTGCAACACACCTGTTGTATGGGCCTTTGGAGAATCCTGGATGACCATTCATTTTGGATAGGGGATGGGTATGCAGTGGTATACGTTCTCTTGTAGGGTTTTTTCCCCCTAACATTTGGTGGTGTTTTTTGTTTTTGTTTTTAAGGATAAGATGTATACCAAAACATTATTGTTTTAAATAGGACTTTTTAAAAAATTACCTAAGACATGAAAATGGAAATGCCCAGACTTAAAATGTATATTCAGTTTTAGCTTTGGGAGTTGCAGAGCAAAACTTGTTTTCCTTTATGATTTGGACAGGACAGCTTTCAAAGAATGCACATACATTTATATAAAGCCTAAGTTAGTGTCCACTTCTGACCTTTTGGGTCAATGATTTTTTTATCAAATGCCTTCAATCAGGGCACTTCTGCCCTAGTTAGTGTCAGCAAGTGCTCCGTCCAGCTGAGCTTTGGCATTGTGCCAGGTGTGAAGAAAAACTCAAATGACTCAGAAGAGATGGGAAAGTGGTTCAGATGTTTGAAGTAGAATGTGTGAGCAGGAACTCTTTCAGCTCACAGAGAAGGCAAGGAATGAGAACAGAGCGCCTCTGCCCAGACACCCAGAGCCCCTGCCGGCTCTTTCTCACGTGGCTGTGGGAACAGAAGGGAAGGACAGAGGACATCTAGGGCTGGTGAGGACATGGGGTTTGGAGTCAAGAGATCTGGGTTTGATTTCCTGCTGTGCCACTCCTGTTACATAACCCCTGACAAATGTTTGTGTTCCAGATTCTGGGGGTATGATGATTTAATAAGTCCTCTACCCTCTGTAAGCCTGTTTTTTTCTTTCACAAACTGGAGCTAATAAGCAGCACGTCCCCCTTTGGGTGTTTGCAAAGCACCCAGCTTCACATTACTGTTCTCTGTACTTGGGAGCTGACAGCCCAGAGGCAAATAGGATGCGGGCCCTGCCCTGGTTGCCTGAGAGACTTTCAGGGACTCAGCTGTTAACCTAACCAACTGTATCTAAATTTGGCAGGTGCCTTAATAGGAGCGAAAGCAAAATATCTAGCAGAATACGGGAGGAAGAAATTTGTGGGGAGTCTGGGCAGAGTTGGGACGTTTCACAGGGGAGGTGACATCTGGGCTAAGTGAGCCAAAGGACCTTGCAAGGAGAAACAACATGCCGTGTGGGCATTCAGGAAACGTTCAAGACACCCAGAGGGGCCAGAGGCTAGTGGGGCGGAGCTGTTGCCTCTTGAAACCCTCTACGGGATGCCTAATACAGTATTCAGTGGTCTGTTGGCATTAGAGGATTTATCTTTCTTGACCATCTGCACATGTGTCAAGAACCAGAAGTACTATATAAAGTATGCATCATCTTACTACTCATGGAGAACTTTTCTTTAGAACATTTCTTTAAAAGTTGAAAGTTTTCAACTTCATTACCCAGATTCACTGTGCCCAATTGAGGGTTCCTAAGCAGGACTCCTCCTAAGTTGTTTTGAGGATGGTGGAAGTAGAAAATGGACCATTTGGGACAAGGAGGTGAGCAGTAAGGATTGAGCTGTTCCAAGGGCTTTGTGAAGGAGACAACACTTTATCTAGGGCTTGAAGAATGACTCCTAAGACTCAGACAGGGAGACGGAGGAAACCAGGGAAGAAGTAGAAGCAAGCATGGTGCGTTTGGGAACAATGCCTAGATTCAGTGGGTATAGGTTTTCTTCGAAGACCATTCATCTCTTTTGGTAGTGGTTAGAAAGGTGAGTTCAATGTGAAATATATATTTGTAACTGTAATTACAGCCAAATAAACACATATAGGAGGCAGTGGGTTGCCTGATATTGGAATAATGAAAGGTCCTAGCCAGATACAAACTTGGGAATTCTGAACATACAGGTTGATTTTAAGGCCATGGGCATGAGAGTGGGTGAACTATCCCAGAGAAAACAAATAGGCAGGTGAAGAGGGCTGAGCTTTGTGAGAGTAGAAAAAGGGGAACCAATGAAGGAGACTGAGAAGGAACAGTTAAAGAAGTAGGAAGAGAACCAAGGGAGAAAGTGTCAAGGGTTTTATAGAGCAAAACACAGTCAAGAGCAGTGACTGTAATGGGGTATGTGGGGGGCACTTGATGGGGGGAGTCTAGTAAACAAGATGTTCCTCATGTAATTGTACATTAATGATACCAAAAGAAAAAAAAATTTTTTTAATTAAAAAAAAACATAGTCAAGAGCCTTAACCATGGCAGTGGGGGCAAGTGAGATATTTTGCCACTGATTTGGCAACTGAGAGGTGACCTCAGTGAGTGCTGTGAGTCAGAGCAGACTGGTGGTTTGAGGAACCCCTGGGAGATGCTCAAGGAATGCCCATCTGTTCTAGAAAGTGTACCTGAAGGGAAGGGAAGTCGTCTGTCAGCCAGAGGAGAGCTTCCTGACAGGTCCTGCAATGAGCCATAAGGATGGGTCGGGTTTCAGTAAGCAAAGCTTAGCTGATGGCATCAATGACAAAGTGATGGTGTGAGCAGCAGCTCAGATGTGATAAAGTGCCGGACAGATTTGAAGTAAAGCAGGAGTATGCATGAGATGGACGTGGGAAAGTGGGTAGCAAAATATTGCCAAGGGCCTTGACCAGGCTCATGAGGATACACACAGTTCGAGGTAACAATACAGCGATCAAAGCTATGGCTGAGACAGAAACAGGACTAGCATCAAGAACTTTTACCTGCAAATCCCTCCTATGGCAGCCCCACCCACAGAGCTAATGCTGGTATAATTGATAACGATGAACATCTGTATAGAGACCAGCTGCCTTCCCCTCCATTATCTAACTGTCTCATCCTCTGCAACGCTGTACCTTATCCCCGCTTCCCCAGGAGAGCTGAGAGCCTGTTGTCTGGTTGTCTCTAATGGAGAACAGATTTCCAGGGTGTTGCGGCTGAGATTTCCTGGAAGCAGATCTGACACAGACTTGGTGTGCAGGTGGTTTACAGGGGAGAGCTCTGGGGTTCAGTGCCTGTGGACAGGAAGGTAGCAGAACTGGACGGAGGGAGAGGGGAGCTGCCACAGTCTCAGCCGGAGTCAGAGTTTACCCTGGCTGGGGAGGGGTATGAAGAGCCGTTCTAGAATGACTCCCCAGGGTGGTGCTGACTCAGCATGACCTCTACCAGCCATTGAGGACAGTACAGGCGTCCTGGGGAGGCGTAATCCCAGCAAGTACTCTTCAACCAAGGCAGTCCAGTTAAGGGCTTCCTGTTGGCATTACTTCCAGCAGTGGGAGGCATGAGTCTTTCACTCCTAGAGAGATCTGGGTGCATCCCAATGTCCACCACACAGCTGGGGAGCCTTGCAGATAGATACTATAGTCGGAACCCCTATTTTATTGGTAGGGAAACTTGGGTTAGGCAGGATGAACAATTTGTCCAATATCAAAAAGGTAACAGAGCTGAGACAAAACCCAGCTTTCTGCATTCTCTTTGCCATTCCCTTCCTGCTGCCTTATTCGCTGTCAGGACTGCAGTACACACAGATGAATGGAGCAGGGTGTAGACTGCAGTAGTTGATTTTTTTGCCCAAGACCCCAGAAAACAATTTGCTTAGCGTTTTTTTTCCTTTTGGTGTAGAAAAACGATAACCTACCAGGTAACCTAACTCCCCTCCCTACCTGTTACCATGGGGATACCTTTTGGAATAACTATAGATAATCAAGGCACAGTGTTCTTTGAGCACCTGTAAGGGGCAAGGCCTTGTGTCAAACTGTGAGAAATAAGACATGTGGAATTTGCTCCCTGATCTCCAGAAGTACATGGTCTCATTAATGAGACAAGATAGATTCCCAGGAAGTTAAACAGCAATATGATGTGCTATATTATATTAGCTCTGAGTGCCAGAAGAATGGTAATAAAGAATGGGAAAGAAGGGCGAAGGTAACAGCTCAGTTTTATTGAGTACTCAGCAACTATAGACCAGGAACTATTCTCATAACTCTTGAGGTTGCTGTTTTTATGAACTTCATTTTCAGTTGAGAGAATTAAAATACAGCTAGGAGAAGCAACTTGCTGATAAATAGCAGAGGAAGGTAAGCCAGCCTAGAGCCTGCATGCAGAGCTCCTTCCTGTACTGCCTCTCTGAAGGTGCTAGTGGAGATCAGTGGCCTGTGGGATGCCTTTTAATGGAGCTGAGAGAAAGGTAACTTCCTCCTGATGTACACCCAGAACAAGCTCATTTCTAGATGCAGAATTTCAGACCCTTCTACTGTCAGCTATTTCTTGCATACCAATGACTTCTGTCCTGAGTGAAGGTTGTATGTGACCTCAAGCAAGTGATTTAACCTCTCTGTGCCTCTGTTTCTTCGTCTGTAGATGGGAAAAATAATAGTACCTGGTTCCCCAGATTGGGTCAGGAGTTAACATAGGTAAAGTACATAAGGAAGGGCATGGGACCTAGTAAACACTCAGTACTTTCCCTGGAGCTTGCCTGTGTTAGAGGCTTTAACAGAATCACACACGAGTAGGGACTTGTTAAGAGGTTGAGTAGACGCGTTGCTCCAGGCTGGATGCTAACCGCGGCTGTGACATCAGAGACCGTCTCCCACACCCCATGCCCTTCCTTCCTCTTCCCTAGGCCACAGTCTCATCACTGTGGGCTGGGAGCTTCTTCTGACCCAAGGAACAAGAGCTGACCTGCTAACACAAACTCCAGTTTCTCCCAATCTTTTTTTCCCTCTTCACATGTTACTAACTGATGGGAAAGCATTTTTTTTTTAAGCCATTGATCGGCCAGAGGCCAAGCACACACTAGCTGTAAGAGTGATACATGTACAGGAAAGCGAATGACACATTTAACTCATCCACTTTCCAGTTATATGAGGTACTATTGCCTGGAGGTGAATTCTGCCACAGAAAGCAGAATCTCAGTTTTCAAATGGCAAAACGTTATATTAGGGGAAAGAAATTTATTTTAATTACTTGATAGTTTCAAATATGTATACTTAGTTCTTTTTCATAATGGACTAATGAACACAATGACCCCATCATTAATATTTTCTTAGAATTATCTAACAGTCTACCCAAAGTATGGGGGCAGGTACTAGTCCACACAGTATTACTAAGCTGCAAAAAAATTAAGAACTTGAGTGTTAAAGCCTTAGGAACCCCTCTAGCAATTTGATATTATTCCCAGTGACATCTACGCCCGTGATCAGTGGTCTCATCCTGTTGAGCAGCCTGTAGGTCAGTTTGAGTGGCACATGCCAATGGAGTGTCATGCGTGATGGGAGTAAGTGCTATTAAGTAAGATCACATTGGTATGTGCAGTTTGGAAATAACCTCAGTCCTTCACCATGGGTAGTTTGAGAAGCACTGCTGTAGAGGAATAACATTAGCTCTTGAAGTTGGTTTGAAATGTGGCGTTTTCTTAGATGCTTTTACATTAATCATTCCTGAAAATTGCAAATTGCTGTATTAGCACTGGTGAACATTGAACTACAAAAGCATAATTGCACCTCATTAGTTAGTTCAAACTGGAAGATAGTGTTTTTTTTTTAATCTGACACTTAGAAGCAATATGGACTCAACCCACATTTGCCCTTATTATCATCCCCAACGATTATAAGCATCCACCACTAACAGATATCCTTATGACCTCTTTCACAGAGATGTCATGGAAAATATGTTTAATAAGAATGGTAGATTATTATCAGTTTCCCATTGGAGCCGCTCCAGTGTCCATGAATTTTTCTATTTTCATTAATCCTGCCCTGATATTTTCCAGCCCTGAATATGTGGTCTCTTTGTATATTCATGTCTTAGTGAATAATGGGAACGAAGTGTAATCTTAGCTGATACCTGCCTTTTTCTCATTACTGCTAAAAGGTCTCCTTTTTTAAAATAGGAAAATATATTTGTTGATCGCTCAAGGATGGCCCCAAAGACTCCAATAAAAAGTGAACCAATTGATTTATCAAAGCAAAAAATCTTCACTCCAGAACGAAATCCCATTACTCCGGTTAAGCTTGTCGACAGGCAGCAGGCAGAACCGTGGACGCCCACAGCTAACCTGAAGATTCTCATCAGTGCCGCCAGCCCGGACATCAGAGACCGGGAGAAGAAAAAGGGGCTCTTCAGACCCATTGAAAACAAGGATGGTGCTTTTACAGACTCCCTGCAGGTAAGCAGGCTGTGCCTCCAGGGGTCTTACAGAATTTTAAATTTTTTGCTTGATTATTAACAAGTCAGAAATCTCAGTTTTTCAGTGACTAGTCAGCCAAAAGCAGTAATAAACTTAAACTTATTATCTTGTTACTTATAGCGGAAATGGAATTCTCACTGTATCTCATTGTTCATAACAAATGCTTCCATTTCTTCTATATGATATTCCCTTGACCAGTACACATTTTAAGATAATTTTTTAAGCAAGACTGTTCAATAATTTTGATTTAGTGAAGGAATTTGGATCTTTTCAATGCTGCTGTGAACGGTAATTTTGCTGTGATTTTAGGTAATCTTAATCGAAATATTTTTTGCTCGGGAAATTTCATTTTCTTGTGTATGTTAATTTCATTGGTTTTCACTTTAAAGTTAAGTCATCTTTAAGTTACCTGTCATGTGGGGAATAAAAGCTATTAAATAATGAGCATATCAATACCTTTTTTTAGTAAGTCAATATGTTTTACTCTCTCCTCAAATTTTTTCCCAGACCTGCTAAGAAAAGGTACAGATTTGTGTGTTATTTCTCTTCCATTTTTCCTTTCAGTGGATTTTTCCCAAAATGAAGAAACTGGGAAGGGAGGAAAAAAGATGTCCCAAACTACAATTTGAAATTAGCAGAACAAAATGAATTAAATCTGCTATATACTTCATTGCAGTGATAAAACTAACATTCTTTCATGTAACCAAATACAAAGCAGGCAATACCTGGAAAGCCACTGCCTTAGAGAAACTCCTGTGTACTTACACCAAGAGACATGAACAAAGAATATCATGGAAGCCTAGTTCCTATTAGCCCAAACTGGATACAGCCAAATGGCTATAAACAGGAAAATGTGTAAATAAATCATGGTGTATTCATGCAGTGGAGTATCATATGCAATACAAATGAGAGAACTACAGCTGCATTCAAGTATATGGATGAACCTTAAAAAATGTATGTTAATTGAAAAAAAAACAAGTCCTGGAAGAGTACTGTATAGTTTCAATTTTACAAAAGCTTAATGAAAAATAAAATCTAAGCTATAATGCACATATGTGAGATGTGACATGTATTACAGAGTGATTTTTTAAATGGCAAGGAAATAATAAACACAAAGTTAGGAGGCAGGTTACTCTGCAGGATGGGGCAGACGTAAATTAATATTCTGGTTTTGGGTTGAGAGGTAGATTCATGAGTATTAATAGTACATATATGAAAAGTATATTTTATAGTATCAAATATTCAATCAAAAGGTACTAAAGAACTAATTTTAAAAAGAAGATAATCCTCAGTAATTTTTAAGAATACAAAGGGATCCTGTGACGAGCAAGTTTGAGAACTACTGTTCTTGGGTGCGAACCTAGCCGTGGAACTGCTGGGTCATCAGATATGCAAGTACTCACAGGACAGTGCAAACTGCCTTCCCAAGTTTTTTCATCCACCTTTAAGGTATAAACACTTACTCATCCACATCTTCTCTGACACTTGAAATTGCCAAATGCATAAATGTCTGCCAGTCTGGTGAGTGTACAGCTGTCTGGTCCTGTAGCCCTCATTTGCTTTTCCTTGGTCACTAATAAGGTTAAGCTTCTTTCCACATGTTTACTGGCCACCGTGTTTTTTTCTTTTCTGTGAAGTGCCCGTTCATGTTCTTTGCTGATTTTTATTGGGTTTTCCTTTTTCATACTGATTTGTAGGAGTTTATTTTATATTCTAGAAACTAATCCTTTATCAGTTATATGGGTTACATTTCAATTTGGGGCTTGTCTTTTTCTTTTATGTTGCTTCTTGTAATCAGTTGACCCGGCACCATTTATATAGTCCTTCCTCTTCCCCTGAGTTCCTCTGTCTTATGTCAAAGTCCCATTTATGTGTGTATCTGTTTCTGGGCTCTTTTCTGTTCCATCAGCCAATTTGCCCATCCCTACACCAATAGCATGTTGTATAGCATTTAAAGCAAGACCCCCAACTTATTTTCCCTCAGAATGTATATGCTGTCTTCCCCCTTTTCTCTTCCTACACACTTTAAATTGGATTTTAATTGGAATTGCATTGTGTGTAGATTAATGTAAGAATTAACTTCTTTATGGTAGTGAGTCTTCCTATCCATGAAGATAGTATAATTTTTCTAAGTTAGTGTAATTCTCTTAAGTTTTAACATTTTACACAGATACATTTTGCTAGATTTGCCCTAAAAAAAGTTAATCATTCCTGTTGATATTGTGATCTTTCACATAACTTTTCTGTTACTATTGTATAGAAATGCAGCTGATTTTTTAATATATTGTCTTTTTAGCTACCTTGCTAAATCCTCTCTTTCAGTAATTTGAGATTCTTAAAAAATTTTTTAATGCAAACAATTATGTCTTCTGCTGAAAGAAAATTGTATGTACTCTTTTCCAGTCCCTGTCCTCAGTTTGTTTTTCTTGTTCCCCTGCACTGGCTAGTATCTCCAATAGGATATAAAAGAGGAGCAGTGAAAATAGACATCCTTATCATTTTCCTGATTTTTAAGGGAGTGTTTCCAGGATTTTCCCATTAAGACAGGGGTTTGCTGTTGGGTTTTTATGGATACACTTTATTAAAGAAGTTCTCCATTCTCAGTTTTCTAAGGGCATTTTTGAAAATTATTAATGGGTGTTAAATTTATCAAATGCTTTTTCTGAAACTATGGAGATAATCATATCACTTTTCACCTGGAATATGTCCACTTTTACATTTGCTTTCTCAGGACTTAAACTGAATCCTTTTCAAATGTGAGTTGATGAAACAAGGATGCTAGTTTAGGACTTATAATTAGAAAGAATAAGGAAGAATAAGATTTGGCTGCCCTTGTTCAGTGCCATCAACCCTTGTATAAAATTAAGCAGTTTGGTGACATAACACGGGCCAGTGCATCTCAAGCTATCACGTTACCAGGAATCACCCAGGATTTTATGAAAAGATGGATTCTGATACATCAGTGTGGGATGAGGCTTGAGAGTCCACATCTCTAACAACTCCTGGTGGTGCTGAGCTACATGTCCAATGAGCACACTAGGAACAAGAGTGTACCAACCTATAAATGACTGCATTTTTCATTTTTTAAGTTTTTAACCAGTAGATTCATCCTTAAGTTGCAAAGGGTAAAAAATTCAGAGAAAGCAATCAGTAAAGCTTTAAGAAAATTAAGCTAGGAAATGTATTTTAACCAGAATCTAGGATGGTATGAACTGGCAGGTCCCCCAGTTTGCCACCACTGCTCATTAGGGTGTTAACCATGTCATCTGCCCCCTCCCTTGTGTCTTGCCTTTGTAGCTTGATGTTGGGGATAGTGCCGTGGACGAATTTGAAAAGCGAAGGCCGAGCAGAAAACAGAAAAGTTTAGGACTCCTATGCCAGAAGTTTCTAGCTCGCTATCCAAGTTATCCCTTGTTAACTGAGAAAACTACCATCTCCCTTGATGAAGTTGCTGTCAGTCTTGGTACGTATCATCAGATCAGCCAGAGGCCTGTCTCCAGTCACAGTGGGTAACTACTTTCTGCGGGCAGACTGAAGGCATAAGGTAGCCTCTTTTATTAAGTAGAGAATGGGCCCTCACAAAAGTTAGGGACAGAGGGGCAAGTAGAGCTTCCTTCTGTCATCAAGTTTCTCATTGTTATGCACAGGATTCCAGGGAAACTTCTAGTCCTGAGGGTCAAACAGAAATTTGGGACTCACATTAAAAATTAATATCTCATATTTTAATTTCATCTTATTTCACACAGTTGCAAAAAATACCTAGAAATATCCTGCTGTTTATTTTTAATAGTGTTTCTAAGAGTTCAGAACTGCTGTTATTTCTGAGATAAGGCAAGATTTGAGAGCAAGAGCATGATGTTTGAAGCCCTATAGCATGATATTCACAGCAGGCCTGCCGAGCTAGAAGCACATCTGGACATTACTAAAACAGCTAAATCTTCTAACGAAGAATTCATGTATGCGCACGGCATGAGTGTATATAATAGCTCTAAATACGTAGACAGCCGCCACTGCATAGAGGCCCCTAGGGGGCATGGGTTGCAGTTGGGTTGATGATGAGCATGTTGTTGACAATCTTAAATAAGCAGAAGTGATTTGCAGGTGTGAGGTGTCCTCTTAAAGAATGGGGTTTTACATACAGAAGAAAAAGGGAAAAAGTCCCGAAGAAAACTGAATAAACTTTATGATAGATTATATATTTACTTTGTTGATTAGTTCTATGTCTTTTACATGAGGAACATTTTGTTTACTAGATGCCCCCTTCACCAAGTCCCCCC